AGGTGATTTGATGGATTCTAACTATGTGATATAATCCATTAGTCTGAAGAAATTGGCAAAACCTGTTTCTACTCTTTTTACTACTTATTTTTCAATATTTGTTTTTTAGTCATTGAAACATTTAATGAGGTACTCTCCAAAGAATAATAAAAATATTAGCATCACTGTTATGACATATGAAATAATAAACAAGATTTATGTAATTGAAGTAATGTTGAAGAATAAACAATTAAAATAATGCTAATTTTATAGTTAAGAGGACATTTTATTAAATGTGACCTCTTTTGCAACATTTAGATAGAAAACTGAAGATTAACTAACAAAAAGTCTTTCAATGTTGATGATTTTTCTTCGTCAAGTATTCTTCTAATAACAACTAGCTTTTATGCATATAAACAATTACCATAACACATTTACATCAACTAAATTGTCATGAATAATGGTTCAAATAATACTAAATAAAATTTATATTGATAGGTGTTATTGATTAAAATTGGTGAGAATAGTATCATTTATTTAGAATTGCTAAGAGTTAGCTGATCTCCTCATTACCATGAAAGAATTACATTATCATTTTTCTTCATAATCAATATGACATATTACATGTTTTACGCACGCAAGAATTGATGATGTAAAATAATGTAAATTGAAGATTTTTCACACGGTTAAACTGTCCTTGTTACGATGGGTCATCAGTTGGTTACCAAATATACATTCATAATTTAGATACCTGCCTAAGATTCCTATTAATGAAAACCAGTGATCCTACAAGTTCGCGGATCTATGATAGTAAAAGTAGTAATATAAAATACCTGAAGTAATAGCGAACAAGAAAACCATGAATGACAGTTGAAGAAAGAGAGAGAGGTAGGTAACATTCTCTCACGAATTCTTTAGCCAATTATACAAACAGCTTTGACAAGTATGCATACATGTTTCTTTAAAACCATTTGAATCTTTACGTCTTCGTCAATGCTAAAAAACCCTTTCAGGTCAAGGCAAATACTATTTTATGTGAAATAGCTAACGTTTGCGAATTTTTACTCAGCTAAAATATTTTATATTAAATAATTGGTGATGTTTTCATGTCTTTCGACATCATTGAACAAAACTGATGTTGAAAATAGAATATAATAATGCTTAATTAATATTTTTTAATAGCAATTATAATTATGGAAAGTTATTGTTGATGATCATGATGATAGATTATTGTTTAGTTAATTAGAAAAAAAAATCAATAATAGTTAGTACTCCTCTATTAAAGTTATTCAAGATTTCTACTTAAGTAATTTTACATCTTCAATAATACATTGAATTGATGTTTTTTCTTTAAATACTACATCCCTGTTGATAAATATCACAGGTATAACTCAAACTTTGTTTGGTAAAATGGCAAAAATAATGAAGACATCATCCTTACTCATTTATTTTAAGTAATTAAAATTTTATATTCTGGTATTTTGAAATTTCTGACCTCATTCTCTTTCAAAAATGCTATGACTCCATGAAACTCTGTATAATTATTGATAGGGATCTATTTGACAACCGATAATAAATTCACTAAATAAACCATGGTATAAAATGACCACTTGATGAATTTCCATTGATGAATTAAAATTTTTTGCAGGTCATTTCTTCGAATTTGGTACCCCATTATGACCTTACCCAATTCATTTTCTCAGAAGTTATGGGTGTCTATCAATAATGAATAATTATTTGCCTATTGGAATAAAGAAAATGAAAGATCCTATTCTACTTATAATTCATTTTAAACATGAAAATTTAAATTCAAAAGCTTGAACTTGATTAATAAAAAATTTCAGAACAATGAATGCTCTAAATGCTTTCTAATCATTTTTCAACAAGATCACCATATGTTGGAGTCTACTATGATCAATAATTACACATGAATACAAGTAGAGAAGAGTAATATGAGAAGTTGTGAGAATAAATACCTTCAAAAAGGAGTAAAAATGTCTGAGGACAATACGAATTTAGAAAACGATAAATGGGTTTATTGTAAAAAAAAAAAAGAGAAGACAGCATCAAACCCTCTTTAGTATTTCATTCCTTTCCCTGCTCATGTGCCTCTCGACTAGGATTAAGTCAAGGCTAACAAAACCTCTTTCACTAGCGCGTATTAGTAGGTACCTGTTCCGCGAATCGACCATCACCAACATGATTCCAATGAACGGGCTCTCTTTCATCCTGAGCCCGTGAGGCATAAGAAGGTGATCTCGTCGGTTTACTTCAAAAATTGTTTGGCCACTGAAGAGATCACGATGATCGTTCGATTAAGATCTCGGTTCTTCTAAAATGAGCCGATAAAAGTTCCCGCCATTAAAAATTAAAACAACTTTGCCAATTTAGAAACCAATAAATAATAATAATAATAAATGAAACAAAATTTTAATTAAATTTTTTTGAAAATTATTCATGTCATTTTTTCTATTCTTCAATTTAAAAAAACAACAAACTGATGTAATAATTCCAGAAAAACATTGATCAAGTTTTGTTTAATTTTAGGTACAATTGATTTAATTGAAATTTCTTCACTGGATTTGGTCATTCTAGTCACACCCTTGGACTTATGATAGATCAGTGAATATTTTTATTTTTTGTAGCTATTTAAAATGAATGATTTGCAGTATTGATGGATAGACAGTCACATAAGAAGGAGACCTTTCCTATCATTCATTTCAAAAAGCTTAAGAAACATAAGAATATTTTATTGAAAATTTCTCATACAGTTTATTTATTTCTTTTTTTTTTCATTTAAATAATAGATTCTGCTGATTTTGTCTTTGTGAATAATTCTATTTCTCAACTATTTAAGTTAGATGATTCACAAAGCAGCTGAATAAAACATACACGTACCAGCACTGAATTATGTCTCTCTTCTATTTTAGAAAACTGACAAAATGAACATTTTATAATAAGTTCACTTAAAAATGATGGTTTTTTTGATAGACATTCATTAATAATTTAACTTATCTGCTCTATCTGTTGTCCTAATAAATCAAGTCAACTTATTTATGCAGATATTGTTATTTTTGCGAAAATTAAACTAGTAATATAGATGAAAAATTTAAATAAATGAACGAAAAAAAACAAGTTTTGTCTCTCATCAGTTTAGACGACAAATAAACCAGTAACTCAGTCGTAAGCAGTTGTCGTTTTTATACTGTACGTTATTTTCTCTTCCTGTCTTGGCAGTCGACGACGAAAGAAGTCTCTTCTAGGCGCGTCACCCGGGCGTAGGCAGAATTACTTTAGGCTTTTATTTTAACTCGACCCATTTCTCTTCGACCGAGCGAGCTTAGAGTAAAACAACCTATACAAGAACTTTTCCTCTCTGTCTTATATCCTCTTACGCATGAGCAGCTTCCTTGAGAATTGCTTCCGTGAACTTTTGAATTTATTGTTATTCGTTCTATAATCATCAAGATCAGTAAACAACACATAGATCTGGAATATATATATATATACATAGACATGTGCGAAGGAGAAAATAGTGGCAATGATGTCAATGTTCGACTATAAAACACTTCCGTCAGTTATACCCACCCGCAATCGCCCATGTATTCTAATATATTAAACTAAACTATTTAAAAAACCACCCGAAATATCTACACATCAACAAGAAAAACGAGTCTGCGACCTTGATAATTTGCAAAACGCGCGTGGTGACTGCTCAGTTCGATGAACCACCCTTCATCACTTACACATAAATAAACTAAATCAACCTATTAATATCATCTAATTCATTGATGAATTATCTAATTTTTTATTTATTTTTTAAATCAAGAGAAAACAGTTATTGTTAGAATTTTATATCACAATTAAATTAGTTGAAAACAGTAAACATTACATTAAATAATAATCAGTTGATAATTAAATACTAATTTCACAGATAATAAACAAAAATAATTTGATAAAAATTATTATGACATTTGGAATACAATTTCATGATGCTAGAGAATCAAAATATTTTGCTGCTTAATAGAAATTTAAATGAACTTTGATAAATGAATATTTTAATTTCGAATTGTCGATATTAATTAGACATGAGACTATTGCTTCAGATCAAAATTGCAATAAAAAGCCTATTAATTACCACGTCCTACATGTCTATAAATTTTTTTTCTACTGATGCAATTCCTCTGGCCATAACATCAAGTACTTTATTATTAAAAATAGGATTCCTAACAAAAAAAAAATATTTGCTGGTAAAACTAAAATTATTTCAATAAAAGAGTACTAAATTTTGTTGAAATATATTAAACTTAAAATTATATCAATTTTTGTCTAAAAAAAATCCAACGTTTTAATGATAAAAAAAAAATATATTTTTAGGATCAATCCGATTAAAAATGAGCTTAAAAATATTCTGGTAGGCAATTGAACCATAAAATTAGCAAGCATTAATTTAGCTTGGCAAGTATATACACATGTATATGAACTATGAGAAATGTACAAGTTGGTCTAGAATAACGGGAAGAGCAAACTCTGGTGAAGAGAAAGAGGAGAAGATAAAAATTGAAATTCCAAACGATACTAGACTCGTTTTACAAGTGCTCCAGTAATTGATGAGATGACAAAGAGATATAATGTAACAGTACTTTTTATAAAAGCTTGCGACGACTAAGAAGCTGTGAGCAAAAAATAAAATAATTAGAAAAATATAGCAACCGTTACTCAACATTTCAGGGAAAGTTATGTTTGTCGGCCAACGACACTTGAATTATTCCATAGCTATCGAGAATCTAGTTAACTGCTTGGTCACGATAGCAAGGACACCGACCCAAATGCCCTCAATATACGAAGGTTTATCGGGGAATAAATATTAGATCGTAAATACTCGTAAATCCAATCAAGAAATTTCATCGACCGAGTGCTCATAAATTATTGTTAAATAAATTTCAGAAATATCATTTGTATAGGCTGTGTAGCCTCTATATTGTAAAGATGAAATGTTTATGCATAAATAAATTACTCACCCGATCGCATTGTAGCCACAGGATTAGTGAGTTTGGAAAACGTAAAGGACCACCTAGACCTGAACCGCCTGCATTTCGTTGATGCTCCAAAATTTCCGAATGAGTCGTTCCATGTTTTATGAATACCTCTAAAGACCTGAAACAATTTCATAAAAGAATCATCAACCATACATTATTAATAATAAGTTGCTTTTTATAGACCAATGAAAATTTTTTATTCCAACAAATATTATTATGATACTGTTATATGGTCATATTGAATTGGTCATTTTGGATATGAATTTATTTTTTATCCACTTATATTCTTGATATAATCTGCAGCTTTATAAGCTTCATTAAATAATATTAATGCAATTCTGCATGTAGAATGATTTAATTGAATTTAACAATAATGTATAAAAGCTTCAATATCAGCACCATCAATAAATTGATAAAATGAAAAAATAAATGTACTTAGAAACAATGAGCATGCAGAAGCAATTGATTGTTTGTTATTATTGTTATTTCCATATTATTGTCATTCTCCAATCAATTGATGTCCAGTTGCAAGTGATATCAACTGTCAGAACAGTAATGTTTATTGACAGCTATGGTAAGTTACTGTGGAACGTCAAGTAATATTTCCTCAGTAACGATCTTATTATTGCATCACCAATTGCGTTATATTGATTTGTTGATTCATGATTGGTTGATGATTATTTACTATTAAAAAGATGGAAGAATTTTTATAATTCAAAGAAAATGGGTCTATTGACTTTGTAATTGTACTCCTACAAATATAATAAAAGTATATTAAAAAAACGTTGATTGAAGTAAATTATCAGTACAACAAATCATAATTTCTCTTAATGATAGAGTTACATTGATTTTAAAAGAAAAAAAGTAATAAAAAGAATATATAAATTCAATTTTCATAAAATTTTCTTATTAAAAATATTCAGATTGATCATGGTTAAGACTTTGTAGAAAGTCAAACATTTTATTGTCATCAATACCATATTAAAGTGGACAGTTTTCATTAAAAATAATTATCAACTGGTGTTGTGCATGAATGAATATTTAGGTTGTAATAAAAAATACTGTTAATTATTGACAAAGTGATAAATAAACCCACCAATTCAATAACTGGATAAATAGAAGAAGTGATGACAGGTTAGTGAAAAAATAACTAAAAAATAAAATCGATAAGTGAGTTACTCAGAAAAAAATCTAATCTCAAAGCAAAGAAACTTCCGCTTGTGAAGAGTTGGTGGCGCGACGATGAGGCGCCCAAGGCAAGTAACTCCACGCCACCTTGTTCAACCAACATAGAGCTCACGAAATCGACGAGGCGTTGCACCAACACCAATTGCAACCAGTTCTCATTAGCTTATCAACTATGAGTATGTTGCAGATATTTCCGTCAGTCTGATCGATAAGCAAAGTCGTGCTGTCTATTTTAAATTGTCATGTGTACTTTACTGTCAACATTATCACATTACTCAAGAGATAGAAAATGCTTTTTTTGAATTACTATATGAGTTTTTCTCTAACATTTCTTTTGCCATCATTTTTTAAATTTATTCCTTAAAGATAGGTTGGAAATATTTCACCTCTAACAATAGAATTGCTATGAATTGTATCTTCTTGAATCAAGACTGCATTATAAAAGCCTTCATTTTACCATCAAAGACTTACTAATGTGTTATTAATTATTTTATATTGATGTTAAATAAAATAGATTGGAATATTCATTGACATTGCTTATTTTACATTGTTAAAGATATTATCAATGTAAATTTAAAGAATAAAATCGCAATAATATTAGTTTTTTAGATGTTCTACCACTAAAATTTAAGTTATCTTCTTTTAATTATCTCCTTTCATAATCAGAGTTGATTTTGAATTACAAAAAAAAATTCTGATAAATTCGTATAAGCCACAGGGTCACATCCGCTGTGATCCAGAAATTAGAACCAGTCCATAAATTGGTAGGACAGTCAAAGACCTGAACTCTGATCTGACTTATCCACAGATTAATGATTCTGACGTAATAAGAATCACCTAATCTAAAACTTAGCAATAAAAAAAAAATAATTACAACTAAAAAAGCAATCAACTAAAATCAATATTTATAAATAAATAAAAACTCTTTAAAAGCATGTTAATATTATTGATAATTAATTATTGATTAATAAAAAAATTTCTTTTTTATTTTAATATTAATTTTTAATAATTATAGAAATTTAAAATCAACCTCACGACATTTACCACTAATTTATCTATAAAACGTAAGTATTGAAATAACGATAATGAGAAATAAAAGATAATGTTTTATTCCATAACGAAAAAAAAACTAGTTTAATTTCCGCCATATCTATTTGATGCTTTGATAACTTTTGAAGGAAAAATTTCATTCTCTACTAAGTAAATTTCATCATTCTCAGTATCTACTTCAGATAAAAATTAATTTTATAAACATATCTACTTCAAGCATCATAGAGATACACTGCAAATCTACTTTCTTTACAAAAAAAATATATTAAATATTTTGTAACAACATCAACACATATTTTTAATTAATAAATAAATTTTTATAATAATCTTATCTCACTCGTTACTACCTATTATTAAATATATATTTAAAAGAAAATTTGCATTCAAAAATAAATAATTCATCTAAATCATTTGTTTTAGAATTTAAAAAGTCATTTTTTAGTGTAATAAGATCTAAATTAATTATATAATAGAATGACTTTCTTTTACTTATAAAAAATAGGTATTTAAAAATATAAGAATGTCTGAAAATAATATTGCAATATCTAACTTGACGTTCTTATAATAGGTGATAATCTGAGAATACTATACATAATAGATTTACATGTACCGACACTTAAAGATTTTACGTCAATTGTAATTTCTCTTACACACAAGACCTAATTGAAAGAGCAAGCAAAAAATATAGCTGTTACTATAAGGCTTGCAGTTACGAAACCGGACACGTTATACATTTGTTCCAAGGGGCAGCTGATAGACGATATATATATTATATCTTTACTAATGCAGATGTATTCACTCATAAACCCCTTCATGTTATCCGTGATTTTGACTCATATTGATAAATGTTGCGGATGAATTTTTTTTTCTTTTATTAAACTAAACTTCCTTACGTAACTATAACAACCCAACATGTAATATGCATAACCAAGAATATACAAGAATAAAATTCAAACACCCAAAGGTATTGAGATATTCAGATGTATATGGAAAACTAACTTTCACCAATCATTCAGAAATATCTGTGATAGTTAATTACAATTATTAAAGTTATTCAATGACTGTAAAGGTATGTTCAAACTTATAATTTTTAGATTCTTTTTAGTTGTAATTAGATGTTATTTAAATCTATCATATGAACTATTCATTAGTTTTATTTACCTTTTGTGAACATTTATTTTATATTTTTTATTTCTCTTTGAAATTATTTTTATAAAAATTCTGTACTAATATTCAAGATAATGTTTTAAATATTTACAATAAAGTATTAATGAATTAATTAATATTTAAGATAATAATCAATTTAATAAATAGAAAATAATAAAATTAAAATAAAAATGCTATATTTTTGGGGATTCATTTCACATAAGTCAAAAACTTCTACTGCAAACACTAATTACTATAGTTAATGACTTTAAATTTGCTTGTCCTACACCCCAAGTCATAAATATGATATAAATCGACTTAAACTTCTACTCATAAAGATATCGAGAATATAACAACAACGAAATGATCAAAATTTTTTACTTTTATCTGTTCTAGATGAACTTTGAGGTCAGCTATTAGCTCTGAAGAAATCTAAAAGTCTCAAGTAATACTCTGTTCATTAAGACATCATATTAACTATGTAATGAAATCCATTTAAATTCATAAATCATTCATCACAGCATAAAAAAGTGTAATTTGTTAAATACAAACATTTGTTTTTTTCTTTCCTCAAGATCAACTTTGAATAATTGTCGTAACTATGTAGCAAAACAAATAAGTTAAATGATTTCTATGTTAATAAGAAATGATTAATAGGCAAAATGAAAATTCAATTGTACAAAAATTCAAATTTAAATTGCTGACGAAAATTTAATGTTACAATTTAAATGCTTTACTCTGAACTCTCTTGAGTAGTTTGTCAGCGATGTCTACTCGTCTACCTCTTACTTTCACTGCTCATTCCCCTCGCACTTATTCTGGCATGCGTTTGCTGATGACTAACGTCTATTCAGTATTTCATTGGCATTCTGCCAAGACTTCTATTTCGTGACTGATAGATTTTTTTTCATCAAGATCTTTATTTCCTGCTTGGCAACCTTGATGAGTACCTTCACCTGTAAAGATCTTACACTAATCACATTTTGATAATGAGACACTTGGAATATATTGTATTCTCCAACCAATATAAGCCAATTGCCGGATACTTCTGGTACAGAAATATAGATTAACTTATTATTACTTCAAACATGTGCTTTAATATTGGAGTGGATAACTTTTTAGACTCCTTCTGTCACGATTCAGAGATAATTGAACATTTAAGATCATTTTATGATAGAAACTTGTTATAGAAGCATCAAGTTTACAGTGTGAATATGATTTTAAGTGATAATTCAGGTAGATTTCACATCATAGAGTGGAAATAACTGTTCAGGTTATTTATTCTACTGTCTCGATGACACTAGTCTTGATGAAATGGCAAAGATATTGCTAGCATTGATATTTATGAATCATAAATCATCTAAGTATGTTACAATGTTATTCTCCAGTTTACTAGCAAAGAGAAAAATACAAAAATAATATGCACGTTATGATGTTGTTTCATACATATTAACAAGTCAAAATATAATGACTTGTTGAGGAATAAGAACAGTAGTTTTTATGATAACGAATTAATTTTTTACTTGAAAAAATATTATCAAAAGCTTCAACATGTCTTATCATGACTAACACACGAATCAATTCTATTTTTTCAATCAACTAAACACACATATGTTTCGTTAGAAGATTAATTATATCGAACACGAATGATGATTAATAGCTATCCGTTTATGAATAAGTTTATATCAGACTTAAGGTCTACAAATAGAGTGCTAATAATTGAATAAAAATGTC